CTCAGCAAATAAATAATAAAATGAAACTTCTCAATGTAATGACAGGCAATTACAAAAACTGTACAACAATATGCATAATGGTAACATTATGGCATGAGAGAAGTTTCTTGGGTGAGAGCAATGCTCTATATCTTGATAGATATTTAGGTTACATATATATAGTCATTTGTCAAAACTTAAGTGTTCACTTAAAATTGCGGCTTTTGCTATTTATCAATTATGTCATGAAAGAAAAATACTGTAAAATTTTGAACTTCAGTTAAAGAAAAGCATGCTGAAGTATTTAGGGAGCAGTATACTAATATCTGTTATGTACTTTGAAATGTACTAAAAAAAATCAGATGAATTGATGGACGTAGAGTAGAATGGATAGATGGATGACTATGCAGCCAAGATAATATAATGCTGATTGTAGAATCTGTGTAGTGGGCAGCAGTAGCCCATGTGTCTAACCTAAAAATAAACCAGCATCAGAAAGGTTCTATTAACTTATTATTGAAACCTCTCTTTAATGGAACATCTTTCAGGCTGTGCAACCCAGGAAATGCCTGTCATTGCTCAACCTGCCAGAATCTCTACTTTAGCACAGAGCCGTTTGCAGAGGCATCTGATGAGAAAGATATGATCCCTGACAAAGCACTAGAAAGAGCATTTCTCCAGGTCTATTCTAACAAACAGGCTTCAACACATTGCTGAATGCCAGCTAATGATAGAACCATCTGAGAAGCAGGGTATATTGGGTTGTCGGAAAAGTCATCACATATTTTGCCTATGTTTTTCAAAGGTCATTTATTTATATAAAGAACAAAGATCCATCAATGATATATTGCCTGTTTTGTTCAATAACCTTTTGTCATCTTTCAGTAAGCTTCATAATTCCTCGTTCATAGAAGGACCTGTCTTTCTTTGTGAAAAACTGAACAAGGTGCTGATTTACAACCTCATCTGAATTGACTGTTATACCATGCAAGGAGTTTTGAAGAGAGCAAAACAAGTGGAAGTCTGACAGTGCAAGGTCAGGCGAGTATGGTGGGTTTGGCAACACATCCCATCCAAGCTCCAGTAATTTTTGATGGGTGATCAAACTTGTGTGTGGTCTCGTGTTGTCACGATGGAACACAATTTCTTCACAATTAACAAGCTCTGGACATTTCTGGATGATGGATTAATTCAAACTGTCCAATTGCTGATAGTGCACATTCGAATTGATTGTTTGGTTCCTTGGTAGGAGCTTGAAAAACATGACACCTTTAAAATCCCACCACACTGAGAGCATAACCTTCCTCTGATGAATGTCTGCTTTCAATGTCGTTTGAGGTGAATCATCACGTCGGGACCAAGACCGTTTGCGCACCACATTGTTGTAAATAATCCACTTCTCATCACCAGTTATCAGTCGCTTCAAAAATGGATTGTTTTCCTCACGTTTATTGAGCATATTGCAGATGTTTATATGCTCTGTCAAACGAACTTGTTTGAGTTCATGAGGAACCCAAATATCGAGCTTGCTTACATACCCTATCTTCCTCAGGTGGTCGTGAATGCTTGGATGATGGATGTTCAATGTTCCTGCAATCTCTCATGTCGTGTAACGTGGGTTTGACTCGATCAATGCCTTTATTTTGTCATCATCAACCTCAGTGGAACTTCCTGACCAAGGAGCGTCGTTGAGATCAAAATCATCAGCACGTAATTTCATGAACCATCATTGGCATTGACGTTCTTGTAGAGCATTGTCATCGTAAACTTCATGTAACTTTTTTCAAGCTTGACGGGAGTTCTTCCCTTTATGGAAGTAAAACAGTAAAATATGGCAAAAATGCACAGTTTGGTCTTCCATCTTCAACTTGTAAAATCTCCAAAACTCAACGAAATCGCTTAATTTTTTTTAGAATGAAGCTAGAGCTGTCAGTTGTCAAATGGCATAGAATAACATAGATGTGAATGAATCTAGTACTTCCAAAAATGAACTAGTGCCATCTGTCGCAAACATGCATCATGACTTTTCCAACAACCCAATAGAATTTCTATTTTTCCAAGAATCAAAGCAAGGTGGAACATTATTGAATGAAACCACAGATGTTATTCATAAGATCTGGGCCACTTGAGGTTGGAGGCATACTGATTTCCAGCCTAAGGATGAACTGGCCATCTTTGGCTTCTTAGGAGAATGACCACAGGTTAAGATGAAAAAGAACAGATGCCACTATATGAAGCTTCAATTAGAAAGCCCTAAATGGGCTTAACTGGTAAGACAGCCATAACAACCATGTCCTGCTGCAGACTGAAGGAAAGATGACAAGTGTTTTAATGTGGTGAAGACAGATCCCAGGTCTAGCTGCTTCAGAACAAACAATTGGCCAGATCTGAAGGAATCAAACTTGCCAATAATTACCAAATTCCAGGAAGACCTTAGATTTGAATGATTTCCATTGTTGGAATTAAGTTTGCAAACAAGAAAACTATTTTAAATGTTTTCTTAGAGGAGCTCCTTAGTGAGCATATTCATACCTAGCAGGGCTTTGAGAGAGCATAGCTATAGATCTGCCCCAGCTCTTCTGGAAGACTCTGCCTCCCTTTTTCTATCCCTCTTTCTCTTTTAGCAACCCTTCCCTTCCTACTACCCTAAAGCCTCATCATCTCATAACATTCCAGGCAATGTTTACATATATAGTTTACATATATGGTCCCAGGCCATATGCCACATATACATTTAATACATTCAGCAACTACTCATGATAAAAACTCTCAGCAAATAAATAATAAAATTAAACTTCTCAATGTAATGAAGGGCAGTTACAAAAACTGTACAACAATATACATAATGGTGACATTATGGCATGAGAGAAGTTTCTTGGGTGAGAGTAATGTTCTATGTCTTGATAGATATTTAGGTTACATAGATATAATCACTTGTCACCACTTAAGTGTTCACTTAAAATAAATATATATATGTATATATATATATATATGTATATTCATACTAGTAAGTGATAACTGACTACTAATGTTAAATTATTTGCCTTTATGAAAAAATCTATAGTTTTTCAGTTACTGAAATATATCACTAATGATTAAATTTCAGGCATCAGTGACAAGTTGGAAAAATATTGGCAGCAGAAAGCATTCAATACATAGTCATTTATTTATAAGGTAGTTATTAACACCCTCTCTTTGAATTATCTTTTTGTAACCTAGGATGAGAAATACAATGAAATATGTCAGATTTCCTTCCTTCCAAGAGTTTACAAATACAGGAGTTAAGATATAGATAGATAGATAGATAGATAGATATAGATAGATAGATAGATGATAGATAGATAGATAGATAAATAGATAGATAGATAGATAGATAGATAGATAGATATATCCAACTAAAAATTCAATCAGGGCCTACTATAGACCATGTGATTTTAAAAGATCACATATTCCATAGAAGTTCAGGGAATGGAGAGAGAACTTCTAAATGAGGTGTTCATGGAAGGCTTCAGGGAAGAGCTTGATAATGAGTTGTCTATGAAGAATTCAACTGATGAAGCTAGGAATAAGGAAGACAGTCCAGGTGGAGAAAATGCCATGAACAAAGGTGTGGAGGACAAGCAGGCTTGGAGACTGGGCATCGCTAATTCTTCTGGGAGTGATCATCTAAGAGTGTGTTGACTTACACATTCTTCTGCAGAACAGCCAAGGGAACTGTTGTTTAGTATTGTCTATTTCCGGATTTGGCAGCCCTATCACAAGCTAAAAGCCTCTGTATTGTTCTTCCTTCTACTACATTTTGTTTGTTTGTTTGTTTTTGAGTATTGCTTTTTTAAATTAAAATTTATTGGGGTTACAATGTTTAGTAAAAATTACATAGGTTTCAAGTGTACAATTCTGTAATACATCATCTATATATCACATTGTGTGATATATAGAGTCAGCTTTCCTTCCATCACCATGTATTTGACCCCATTTACCCTCATCTACCACCACCCCGCCCCTTACCCTCTGTTAACCACTGAACTACTGTCTGTGTCTTTGGAGTTTTGGTTTCTTTTCACATAAGACATAAAATCCCTTGGGAGCCACAGTCTACTAATTCATATATGCCAAGTTTGAGTTACATTTTAAAAATAGTAAATACACTTGAGGCAAACCATTCCTCTAAAGCCCTATTTTTGTTTTCTTTCTCCTTGCTGAATCAAATTAAATTCCTTACATTCCCACTGAAGTTACCAGCCTTTTTGTTTTATTTCTTTCATAAAGCGAAAAACATTATTCTTAACTGCAGTTTCAGAATGCTCTCCAAAGATTATCTATCTAATCAACACTTGTTTCCAGGTATTAATGCACTTATTTCGTTTTGTAAACAAAATAAGTAATACTAATGATAATTAATAGTTTTATAAATGAGTAGCAACTTTGAAATAATCTGGTCTTAAAATAATAACTAGGAAATTAATTTTGCTCATTATTGAAGCTATTTAGATAGGGGATTTTATTTGTATGACAAATATTTAGAAGCTTTGTCCTCATAAACCAAAGGATATGAGAAATCATTTTTGAGAGGATGATTATTATTTTTGGTATTGTTTTTGTATCAGAAGGCTTTCATAAATCATAGTATGTAGGACCTCTATCAAGGGAACATTCACTCAAAATTTAAAGGGCAATGCATAGCTTTAGCATATTTATATCTTCCTGACCTGCACACATGGACACTTCAAGCCAGGAAGGAGCAGGTTATGTAGGAAGGGAAAATCTTGGGCTTGGAATTAGACACTCACTAACTGTTTGACTTTTGACAGTTGACCTAGTTTTTCTGAGACTCAATTTGTGAGCCTCTTTGAATGCAAAGTAGAGATCTAAGTGTCTACCACATATGGGTGTTGGGAGGATTGAGTGACATATAGTCTGTAAAGCAGCTGCACAGAACCCACACAGGCAAGCATTCTGGGAGAAACTATTTTCTGAAGTTGATAATAATCCAGGCTCATGTCTCTGAAATAGTAACTTACTCAAATTTTCAGTGTTACATGTGAGTTCCAGGTCCACTTATACAGTAGTTCCCTTGGTGAGACATTTTTTCACTTTCTGGAATAAAAAACAACAACAACAAACCCATGAAAATAATGCTGGTGCAAGGAAACTTCCTCATAATATAATTCGAAGCAATCTTTTCAGAAGAATTATGAAGGGCACAGGGTTATTTGCTTCTGCATAATGCTATTCATTACCCCACCAAATGCTGTTAGCTTTAGTTCTTCCTTATCCTCATTAATATAGTATTTTTAAACCTATAAAAACATTCATAAAATTTAAAATCAGAGACACAGGATTCTAAGTTTCTAAAAGCTTCTATTTTATTCACATAAAGATATCTTTTTTCTAACATAATGTGATAGAAACTCAACCCCAGACTTCCTCTAAACCAACTCACCATTTAATCAGAGCACTCCATTCCCAGCATATTATATAACCGAGTCCCACCAAATCCTGGCTTAGTAGGTCTACCCATTCCTGCACTCCCATGCTATACTTCTTTATGCCAGTTCAATTTATTACTACTATTTCACAATTTAATTAAATATTATAAGCCTATGAACCATGAGTGAGAAAATAATGCTGATGTTTCTATGAAAGTTGAGTAGAATTTTTGGAAATACTCAATAAATATAAATGACAATAAAAAATCATAATCAATTAGGTGGAGGCAGACAAATGTAAACAAATTAGGGGGGAAAGTAATAAATATCTAGGATTCTGCACTTAGAGTATTTTTTCTTTTTAAAGTTCTTGTTTCACAGTAAAGAAATAGAACCTGAACATTGTTAGTGATAAATAAGTGGTGTGGTTAATGGAGGGGAAACAACATTGACCTTCAAACAGTGAGCCCATTCTCCAAGAAAATGTTTTAGATCCACCAAAGGGGGGGGACATATATGAAGATTCATTTATATGTTTTAACACAAAATGCTACTTATTGATTTTTTGTAGTAGTATGTTTTTATTCCATTCTCTTTACCTTTTGTGTATCCACAAGTGTTTCTTCTTTGTTGTTATCAAGTTTACATAAAACACCTTATAAGTCTATTTTAAGCTGATAGCAACTTCAATCTCATGCAAAAACTCTACACTTTTACTTCTTCCCCAACCCCACATTTAATGTTATTGATGTCACACTTACATCTTTTTATATTTTTATCCATTAACCAATTATTTTTACATTTTTTGTCTTTTTTTAACTTTTATACTAGATATAAAAGTAATTTATGAACAACCAATATAGTATATTATAGAGTATTACGAATTTGACATCACATTTACCTTTATCAGTGAGTTTTATACTTTTGTATGTTTTCATGTTGTTACTTAGCATCCTTTCATTTCATCTTGAAGATCTCCCTTTAGCATTTCATGTAAAGCAGTCTAGTGGTGATGAACTCAGCTTTTGTTTGTCTGGAATAGATTTATTTTTTCACATGTGGATGCCCAGTCATTCCAGCACCATTTGTTGAAAAGACTATCTTTGCTTCATTGTATTGCCTTTGCTTCTTTGTCAATGGTCTATCGGCCATATTTATGTGGGTCTATTTGTAATTCCTCCATTCTGTTCCATTGATCTATTTGTGTATCCTTTCACCAAAACTACACTGTCTTGATTACTGTAGCTTCATGGTAAGTCTAAGTTTGATAATGTCAGTCTTCCGAATTTGTTTTTCTCAATGTTGAGAGTTGGCTATTCCGAGTCTTTTGCCTCTTCACATACTCTGGAATAAGTTTGTCGATATCCAAATAATACCTTGCTGGAATTTTTATTGTGATTGATTGTATGTATAGAACAAGTTGGAAAGAACTGACATTTTGACAATATTGAGTCTTCCTAATTATAAACATGGAATATCGCTCTATTTATTTAGTAATTCTTTGATATCTTTCATCAGAGTTTTATAGTTTTCCTCATATAGATTTCTGCAAAACAGTCTCAAAACAGCACAGCACAGCACAGCACAGGGCCGGCCGAGTGGCGCGATGGTTAAGAGCTGGCTTGGGATGCCAGAGGCCCCCGTTTCGGATCCCACATATGAGGGCCAGTAACAGTGCCCTCTACAGCTAAGATGCTGAACAACAGCTCAACCTGGAGCTGGGCTGCTGTGAGTCACCGGCGACAGCGTAGGCTGCAGCCCCTGTGGCAGTGGGTTGCCATGGGCTACTGTGTGTGGCCAGCAGCCGGCGTGAGCGGCAGTCCAGAAGCCGGCGACTGATGTGCCTCGCCCGGGAAGAGCGCAATGATGGTGCCAACTTGGGCCAGTGAAGCANCGACAGCAACTTGTCTGTTTCCCTTCCCCCAATTCCCCAGCACTGTTCCCATCCCCCCAATTCCCCAATTAAAAAAAAAATCTTAAAAAAAAAAAAAACCAGCACAACACATTGGACAGGACATTTGCTATTTCTCTAGCTTTTGGTGGTTTCACATTTATTTTAGGTGACTGCAATTTACATAAGCTATTTCCTTGGCTATTATTACTGATTTAAGAAGAAAACAACCTACTAATTAATATCCTTAGGTAGCATATTGTTAGACTACAATTTTTAGAGTGCGTTATTTAAACCAAAAAAGATCACTATTTTAAAGTGTATTATTTCTCCAGAGACAGTTATAAGAATATGTTACGGTTAGCAATGTTGTCTCTAAAAAGAGACATCCAGAATACGATTCTGAATTCCTGACCATCTACTCCCATGGTCTCTAGCATCCCAGCTAAAGTTAATTGCTCTTTTAAAAGGTTTAAAAAAAAAAGAAGAAAGAAAATCTTAGTATATAAATCCCTGCTGATTCTTTCAGGATAAATTACTAAAGTGGAATTATTGAGTCAAAATGCCTATCCATTTAAAGAATTGTATCATTTATCTCAACACTTAGCAGACAGTCAATATATAATATGAAAGTTCCTATTATGCTCATAGGCAGAGCAAGAATAATTTAATTTGAAGATGGGGCCTCTTTATTTAAAATAAAGTTTGGCAAAGTCAGAAAGGGGAATAAAAGTAAATAATGTGAGCGAAGAATCATCTTCAGAAGTGTAGGAAATGACTCCCTGACCAGACTGAAGTTTTTCCCTACTCAAATACGGTAAATAAATTCTGTGTGACAGAATGCTTCTGCATTTGTTTGTTTAAGTTACCTGGAGGCTGGTACTGTTGTCGGAAAACGGAGAATTAAAGAAGCCGCTCACAATGTTCATTATTAACTCAGTAAGTAACACACTTCTCCAGGAAAAGGTCGGCGTGTTTCCTGTCGGTGGTTGTGTTGCAAACCTGCAGGGAAAAATAAAACAACTCAATATGTTCTATCACATCTTTGAATTATAACTCAATACTGGAACCTTCTAAAAATTGTCCTGAAATAGTTACTTATAACATTTCTCTTGCTCTCATTGCAAAGCGATGTACAAAAGAATGAAACTAGACTGCTGTCACCATATACCAAAATAAACTCAAAATGGATCAAAGACCTAAACATAAGACCTGAAACAAAGTGCATAAAAGAAAGTGTAGGTAATAAACTTATGGACCTTGGGTTCAAAGAGGATTTTATGAATTTGATCACAAAGACAATGGAAGTAAAAGCAAAAATAAATGAATGGGACGATATCAAACTAAAAATCTTCTGCACAGCAAAAGAAACCATCAACAAAACAAAGAGGCAACCAACCAAATGGGAGAAAATATTTGCAAACAACACCTCCAATAAGGGGCTAATATCCAAAGAATATAAAGAACTCATACAACTCAACAATGAAAAGACAAGCTATCCAATTTAAAAATGAGCAAAGGACCTTTAACAGACACTTCTCCCAAGAAAACATACAAACCGCTGACAGATATATGAAAAAATGTTCAACTTCACTAGCTATTAGGGAAATGCAAATCAAATCCACAATGAGATACCACATCACACCTGCTGGAATGGCTATTATCAATAAGAGAAATAATAACATGTGTTGGAGAGACATGGAGAAAAAGGAGCCGAATAGAAATATTCCTGCCTAAAATCCATTAAAATTTTATCATTCTTCAAAAAAATTAAATACATGTTACTCTAAACCCCAAATACCCTCACCCAAACATCAGAATTATGTCTGACCAAATATCTAGGTACCATGGTCCAGCCAATTTGACACATAAAATTAACCATCACTCTTGGCACGCTGCCCTGTGGTCTTCATTACTTTAATATAGAGTTAGATACAGGCAGAACCCAAGGTCTCCTTGGCTTTCCAGCAGCCAAGCAATAAACACAGATATCCAAATGATGTTTTTTCTGAAAAGAGCCTAAGAGATCTGAGATCAGAGCATTAAAAGAAAGATGGTTGAAAGTGTCGCTTGGGTCCTCTTCCATTTTAACCTTTATTCCTGCCACTATAACCTCTGCCTCTTTCAGTGGTCCCATTTTGTGCTCCTTGAAGAATCCATATCAGAACCTCATCTTGGGAGTAGAGTGAGACCTAGATAGACCGGAACACCTCTGGGAGGTGACAGTGTGCTTGAATCGGAGGCACACATCACAAAGAGTGGTAACGACCTTGCACAGCAGTGGCGGTCTAGACAGAGCGCATAGTCTATAGATCATTTTCAAACAGTCATAAACCTGATTAAATGTTGGTCTGCTTTTTATTATCACCATATGCTGGTAATTGTCAACAAGGTCAATAATATAATACCGTTGCTCACACACACAAAAAATACTTCCTCAACCCATCTCTTTAGCCACTCCTATGACAGAGGCTTTTAGCTCATCAGTAAATATGCTCTAAAAGCAGCATCCTTATGTCAACCCTAACATGCACAGATGGGAAATTCTCTTCAATTACAGCACCTGTCTCCAACCCATGAAGTCCTGCACCTTATGACAGGAGATGGGAGTCTAGGGCATTGGGGGCTGCATAGAGGGAGACTCTAATGTGCTTTTCTAGAGTCAAATTAATGCTCCAGAAAAAAAGAAAGGCAAAGAGAAATGAATTCACAATGCGAAGTTAAGTTTTTATTTCATTTACTGAAACACCTACCTGGGTGCATTTAAGCATGCATGTATTGGGTTGTCGGAAAAGTCATGACGTATTTTTCTATGTTTTTCGTTGAAAAAATGCGTCGTGACTTTTCTGACAACCCAATATATACATGTAATACTTGTAATTGGTATCAGGTATGCATCAGTCTACAAAATCAGGTGTTCCTTCACATATCTGTGGACCCAAAAGGGGCCTCATACTAAACCTGACATGCTCAGGGGAGGCCCACATGGAGGGCCTTACAAGCTCAGAGATGTAAAGAAACCACATGGTGGTCTGAAAGTAAACATTGCTCACTAGCAGCGGGTCATGGTGGGTAGGCACATCCCAGGCCTCTAGCTCCCTTGACAAAGGTCAGTCTCTACCTTTGAAATTATGTTGCCTTTGTGCATCTAAGATAACATACCTTTGAAACATCACAGTAATTTTCTTTTCCAGACCCCTGGAAGGTTCGACCACAGGCACCAGTGCACAAAACCACATTATTTTATTCCCACATACCATCTCTATGCATTGTAAATCTTAACCATCCTGTACCCACCAATGTCAATGAAGCCTGTGATTCTGTTTTGCTTTCTATCCAATCCCAGAGATTTCCCTGCTTTGCTTTCTCCCACCTCCCCAGTCTACCAACAATGAATTTCAGGTAACTCTCCTTACATTTCCTTCTTGATTCTAATGTATAAAAGAAGCTGCAAAATTGCCCTTCTCTGGAGCATTTTCTTAATCCGTTGAGATTTTGCTTCCCAGAAATTCTATTCAGTTTGACTCAAATAAAGTCTTCACTTTTACTTAGGCTGGAACTTCTTTCGTCCACGTATTAAAAACTGTTGTAACATCTACCATGTGCTAGGCACTATTCTATCTTAGAGGCTTCGATTCTAACAGCAAACAACACCGAGATGTGTGCAATGCAGGCGCCCCTGCTTCTTTAACTATCGAACCTATTCAATCAAACATAAACATTCCTATCTAGCAGAGATACCACTTCCAGTGACAGAATGGTGTAAAGCTGTACTGAGGAAGAAAATGGTTCCCTTTATTACCTAATAATGACTTAATGTTCTTCCCTGGAAACATCGAAGTCTACTACCGTGCAGAACAGGTTCCGGCCTGTTCTCTTCCACCTGAGGGCCCATCAGAAAAACAGAGGAAACATATTTTTATTTTTTTATTTCTTTTCTTTTCTTTTTTTTTGAATGATTTTTTTACTTTATATTTTATTATTTAATTATTTTTTTCAGTTGAAGTTCACATTCAATATTATATTACTTTTAGGTATACAGCATAGTGGTTAGACATTTATATAATTTGTGAATGATTCCCTGCCCCCCCCCCCATTAGTCTTGTTCCCACCTGGCACTACACATAGTTGTTGCAACATTACTGACTATATTTCCTATGCTGTACTTTATATTCCCATGACTACTTTCTAACTACTAATTTGTACTTCATAATCCCTACACCTTATTCACCAGCACCCCAACCTCCCTCCCATCTGGCAACCATCAGTTTGTTCTCTGTATCTATGAGTCTGTTTCTGTTTTTGTTTGTTCATTGATTTTGTTCTTTAGATTCCACATACAAGTGAGATCATATGGCATCTGTCTTTCTCAGTCTGACTCATTTCACTTAGCAGAATACCCTCTAGGTCTATCCATGTTGTCACAAATGGTAAGATTTTATCCTTTTTTGTGGCCAAGCAATATTCCATTGTATAAATGTACCACAATTTCCTCATCCAATCATCTATTGATGGGCACTTAGGTTCCTCAAGAATTTCAAAATAGGACTATGTTATGACCCAGCAAATCCACGTCTGGGTACTTATCTGAAGAAATCCAAAACACTAATTCGAAAAGATATATGCACCCTTATGTTCACTGCAGCATGATTTACAATAGCCAAGATATGGAAGTAACCTAAGTGCCCATTATTTTTCAACAGCTGCTTTCTGGGTAAACCCAAGAAGGACTTCAGTTTTGCTGTTCTTATAAAGACTCAGATTATTCTTTTCTTTAATCATCCATGGTGGTGGGAGGTTACAGAAAAATAGTTGCATGTGATGAAAGGCCGTGGTGAATTCCTCCCGTAACACATATAGATACACATAATTTGAGCTGAGAGAAAACCAAAGAAACACAGAATATCCCTGGTATGACAGGCACATGTCCCAATCATGGTAACTGAGACTTAAGATTAGAAGGCCATTTGTCACTTAAAAGGTTCACTCTTGATAATCGTATCTGATGAACTATTCCCATTACAACATACAGAGGATGAAATGCACCTTAACTTAGCATTTAAGTTTGGTTATTGATTTTTTTTTTCCCACACAAGCCAGGAAGATTTTCTCTAGAGTTTTGAATTGCTCCAAACAAAAAACAGATGCAAAACAAGAAAATCATGTGAGCTATTGATGCCCATTGACTTAACCATGCAAAGGTGATCTCTGCGCAGCTCAGCACTTCCTTTCCCCAGGACTGAAGTGCTCTTCAGAAAGGCGCACTTAGGATTAAAAGTGATAATAGCTGGGGCAGGAAGAGAGGCTTCTCTCCAAATTCTGCCTCCTTAAGATCCTTTCAAATGGTAAGATAACATAGACAACTCCGGACGATAAAAGACCCAAACACAAATGCTATGTCATATTCAACAATAGTTTTATTATTCCACCCTGTCAGATGCCTTTGAGTGATTTAAGTCACACTTACAGAAATGCATGCAAGTTAAATATCAGAGTGATGTAACCACCAATGGTCACTTAAGGTATGGATCAAATTCAAGCCCATTAAAGGAAAAGAGTGAAGAGAGGTGTGTGCGCCTAATTGCTACAGACACAGTGGTACCCATCTTTACATAGGAAAATCAGTGGCAAATGACCATTTAAGTTAGTGGGAAGCCAGACGTGCCCTGATTTGCCACCATATTAAAAGAGAAAGATTTTTTCTCTGTTTATTTTCTAAACAAATGTCTTGTTGTAGATTTGAATCATATCTATATTCAGTAAGCAGTAGAGGACTGCCAGATAGGAGAAATTTTGTGCATATCTTGCAAATACAGCTGAAGGATTCTTTAAAAAGTTTCTTTTCTGTGGTTCATCTCAAACAAGATCCTTTGTGACTTCAAGATTTCAGGAAAGAGAACAAGCAGTCATACAATATAAATCTTTTATGATGTATGTGATGTT